AATCGTTGACATCTTTACAAGGTGAATAATTTGATTATACGGCGACAAATTTCATAAGTATTTCGACGAGATGAAAAGTAGTTATGAGGARTTCTTTCAAATATTTGCATCGTTAACCATCATTTCAGAGGATTGGCGAGAATCCTTATTATTAATTTATACTAGGGTTTTAAACGTATATAAAAGTCATAAAATACAGTTTTAAGTGCTTAGTATCGCCCGAAACTAATCAGAATGACTAGGAAAATCCAACAAATAAATATAAGATTAAAACTTTAATTGCTCTTATCCGTAAACTGTAATATTGGAAACAATGAATGTCTGTAGAAGTATTCAAAATATTTAAATTAAAATTTACAGTGTATAATATTATGTACATATAGTGATTCGTTATTTCTTCAAGCATGCTCACACTCAATTTCTTCTAAAACAACACAGTAATTCAAAATCTAATTTAAGGACTATTATTCTCAGCATAACAAATTTAACTTCCAAAAAATTAACATTTGAATTTTAAAATAGGTTGGTAAATAAATATTTTCAAAACAAATATCCAATAAATAATTTTCAATAAAAAAGGGGGTTCTGATTATAAAAATAAAGTTTGTATCGGCATATAAACACGCGTTACGTAGTAAAAACAAATTCAAGAACTTTAAATTATTATTTAATACTCAACAATTTAAAAATTTGAAGAATTAGTGTGGAGGAGTACTATAATAATATTATTTAAGCATTCATACAGTTTCACACTTTGTTACTTAATTTATTTAATTTGATTATTACTAAATATTTATAACTAAATATATTAATGCAATATGAATAGTCACTTCATGTTTTATAAACATCTAGTTAAATGAATAATTCCAAGTATCGTGATATTTTAAAATATTTTTTCTATTTTTGGATATTACTCAAATATAAAATATTGTAGGTAAGTTTAATGCTTTATTATGTAATAAAATTGAATATTTTTATTAGTTACTTATTGATGACATACCTATATTTTGAGACAAATTGCGTTTTATTTCATAATAAAAGAATAAATACAGGCCAATGACTCAGTAGTTTATCTTTTGTATACAATTTCAGAATTTGCCTCCCTATGCATAATATAGTACTATTATATTGCAGATTATTATGCTATAGCTGGTTTATTGTATCAAATTGTATATTATACAGGGTGATTCTTTTATCATTGAACACTCATTATTTAAAAAAGTATTTACTTTTTTCAAAATATTTTTTTACATAGTTTCAAGTTGTTAAAAAACCAACGTTTTTATTAAAAAATTATATTTTTAAATATTTTTTATCCTTATCATTTTTTAAGTTTTTACTTTTTTGAATGACAACATAGAGTTTTAATATCGTATTCCAAAGCAGAATTAACCTAACCTATAAGTAAAGCACAATATTAATTACATAACAATCACGCATTGTTATCGCTTCATTTAGAGTTGCAACGTGGCCGGGGGACCTTGTTACGATATTAGTTGTCCAGGAAAGGTTTTCTATTCCTTATGGATAAGTTTTCCGTAGCTGGGGGTTAAAGCACTGTGTATGAGGTATTTTATCAATAATAAGAGACGTTTGATTTATAGATCCATATTAATTATTGTATTAAAAATAGATTTACATTTACTAATGTAGATGGCTGTTAATAAGTGTATTGGTGAGTTCGCTCCTGTTGATGGTGACGGCGAACTAACTGTTGTGTGTAATTTTAATAATAAGTAATTATGTGCATGAGTGTTGAGTGTGTATATTATGTATTAGTCAATCATATAGTGTGTGTTAAGTGTGGGTATAATATTTATATGTATATATATATATAAGGTGTAACGAATGTTACAGTGTTTAAATATTTTGTTATGCAAGCTGGTTTTAAATTTACTAACCCTGCAGTTCCTATGATTAAATTATGCATTTATTTTAAATTATAATTTTGATTTGTAGCGTACACTATTAAAGTGCATGTTTATTAAATTAATTATCTAGATAGGTACTCAATAGAACATCTTTTTAAAAGAATAATTGAAGCGAAGAAAAAGCTTGTTGATTCTTATGTATAAAGACATTATTAACTTGTATACATTGTACATTAACTACCAAATGAATTTGAATAAAAATATGTTATTTCACATACACTGCYGAATTGATAAAATTATTTCGATGTTATATGCTTATTGAAAAGCTTGTATTTTACTAAATATAATTACTCTTCCACGAGCTAGATTCAACGATTTATTTACTTCGAAAATACATATTTACCTACCTACCGTACAGCAATGTCTCAGAGCGTCTTATATTATTGAATGTCACGAGTAACATATTGTCTACCTTTATATAATAATATAGAACCAAGGTATACAAGGTGACGTGGACGTGAACACAATACGAAATTCATATTACAACATATACGCCCACATTCCTGCGCCGTGTATTATCTATAGACGGTGACAGTTATTATTTATCGTTTGAATTATTGTGATTTCGTTTGCTCGTATTTGTAGTTTACGCATAATACTATATAATATATTATGAATTATATATCTGTAAGATATATATCCAATAATATCGCCGAGAATAACCTTATAATATGTGTACACGAAAAAAGTAGAATATTATACATAATTACATCATATCGATGTATTATTATTATTTTTTTTTTGTGTACCAATCATATGCAGTTGAACGGTTGTAATATCGACGTCGAGTATAGATAATATGCATCTGTGCTAGCCAGAGTATTAGAAATAACAGTACACGTGGGGTAGCCAGTGTATAAATATTATATATTTTATAACATAGGTATAGAAAACCACCCCATTGAGAGATTTATAGAAGAGGTACAAGTTTTGAATAAATGGTTTAAATTTTGGTTGTTGGTGTGAGTTGTGGGGATTGTTAACAAGTTTGAGTACACAAAACTTTAAAAGAACATACAAGTTTAGGAAATAATAAAAACAAATGCTAAATAATATTGTGTAAAATCCTCGTTCATTGTAAGGAAATGCTGGTACCCTATTAATAGTTAATAATGATAATAATAACAATTAGTAGGTATCCAGGTACAGTGTGGATTCTAGAACAATCAGTAGTGGATTGAAATACGTGTTAATACTAAAAAAAATTGTTACAGCACGTCATGTAAGAATACTTATGAGTATATTATTATTTCACTAGAGAGGTGGTAAAAAACATAAAAAACATAAAAAACATAAAAAACATAATAAACAAGTGATGTAACAAGTTGAATATTTATTCAATTATAATTTATAAATTATAGTACTACAATGTGTTAGAACTTTGTTACTTTGTTAGTTAGTACCTAATGTTATAAATAAGTAGCACATG